ACTAGTACTACTACTACTACTACTACTACTACTACTACTACTACTACTACTACTAGTATACTACTACTACTACTACTACTACTACTACTACTACTACTACTACTACTACTACTACTACTACTACTACCACTACTACTACTACTACTACTACTACTACTACTACTACTACTACTACTACTACTACTACAACTACTACGACTACCATTACTACCACTACTACTACTACTACTACTACTACTACTACTACTACTACTACTACTACTACTACTACTACTACATATACTGATACTTATACTTATACTTATACTTTTGATACCACCAATACGGCTACTTCTTCGACTACGAATATTTCTACTACTTCCACCGCCCCTGCCACAGCAACCGCAACCGTCATGACTATCATTACAATTGAAGCATCAAGATGGGTGCTTGTGTGGTCGTTTTTCTTTGACGGAATGTAACCCTTCAAGAGTTGGGGCACTAATGTCTACATCTTATATTTACATAATACTTCCAATTGGGAAGCCAGCGCGGGCCACAATAACAACCATTAGGCCGCGCCTCGGGCCTCACAAACCCGCACCAGGCTATACAAACACCCAACGGGCCAAACAAACACGCTGTCGCCCCCGCCCCCGCCCCTGGTCACGTCACGACTCGCGACGGCGCCATCTGAGAATTGGCATTTCTTCACATTCCCAGAGAGCGCCGTCACGAATCGTGACATGACCGACCCCTCCCCCCTCCACCCCCTCCAGGTCACGCCCGCTGTCGCCAGGGAATATATATATATATAAATAGATTATATACATACATATATATAGACATATATACATACATATATATATATATGTATTGTTGTATATGTGCATAAATATATATATATATATATATATATATATATATATATATGTATATATACATATGTTGTTGGAGAAATCCAAACGAACAAAATCCTCCGATCGTCTCCTGCCTGGGAGGTGGGGTGGGGGGAACTCACGCGCGGCGGCGCACGTGTCCAAATCCACGCCCTCGCGGTCTCGCGGTCTTGATTCCGGGTCGCGATGCGGCGGGTACGCAAACGCATGGATGCGCTCCGCGCAGGCATCCGCGAAAAAACGCCACGTCTCCGCGGGGTCGCGGCCCAGGGGCCCGGCCCGCGAGGACGTGGATACGAGCACGTCTCGCGCCCACGAGGCTCAGCGTGGATCTGCATGCACTGGCCCACCTCCGATGCGCCACTCGGCCCTGGGGGCGATCTCCGCTGCGGCGAGGAGGCCGAGGTGCCGTCAGAGCTCCTCTCCATCGTGTTCGGGCGCGCCGTGCCCGAGGGTGTCTCCCCGCGCCGAGGGCACGGCACGGGCCCGACGTCACCAGGTGGGGGCGGGCGCAGGGAGTGGAGGGGCGTGAGGACCCCGATTTCTCCTCCTCCTCCTCCTCCTCCTCCTCCTCCTCCTCCTCCTCCCCCTCCTCCTCCCCCTCCTCCTTCTCCTCCACAATTACTCAATATGAATACTACTCTCCCTCTTCCCCTGATGACGTGCTGGGAGTGTTCGATCCCCCCCCGCGTACTGTTTTTTACACACAGGATTCCTGGGAGTTGGGTTTTCGCTTGCATTTGTTTTCAAAATGCTGCTCTCCCTGAGACGCCGGCCTCATTTTCGGGCCCCGCTCGTTCCGAATCGTGCTCCCGCTGCAGCGCTGGCCTCATTTCCGTGCTTCCGCTCGTTCCGAATCGTGCTCCCGCTGCAGCGCTGGCCTCATTTCCGCGCTTCCGCTCGTTTCGACTCGTGCTCCCGCTGCAGCGCTGGCGTCATTTCCCGTGCCATGCCACGGCATGCAATGCAATGCTAGGTTGATACTACGCTTTGCGGTGCTCTTCTACGCCATACCATGCCGTGCTCTACAATGCATCGCGTACCCTTTCGCGATCATTGCCCTGCTCGACATCCGACTGTGCGAGTAGAGAGGGGATCTACGCCATGGTAAGGTATGGGAGGGAGGGGTAGGATGTCAGGTATGACGCGAGCGCACCTAGCTTGTCCTCCTCCCCCTCCTCATCCCCCTCCTCCCCCTCCTCCTCCTCCTCCTCCCCCTCCTCCCCCTGTTCCTCCTCCTCCTCCAAACAAATCCGAGACGAAAAACCGTCCGCGGAGAAGGGGTCGGGAGTTCTGGAGGCGCGGGTTGAGAGATCAGATCGGCGGATGTCTGGGGATGGGTCACGGGGAGGAGGCAGTAGCAGGCGGCGGGTGGGGAGGCGACGCGCAGGTGAAGGAAGGAGAATAGAAGGCAAAAAAAACACCCCGATAATAACCGCCCCGACACTCGAGACCGTTTATTCACGCACCCAAAGAAGGAATCAAGCAGGGCAGGGCTGTTTCGTAAACGCCCATTGCCGTTTAGTAAACGCCAATTGTCGGGTCTGGGTGGTTTTCCCTCCCTTCAGAGAAGGAGGGAGGGGGGCACCGTCAGCGGGAGTGCGCAGCGAGGGAGGAGAGTGAGACGCCGAAGGGGGGAGTGGCCAGAGGGGGCAGAGCGGGGGGACCTGGGCAAGAAAGGGCACAGATGTTTAGGCTTAGGTCGGGCATGTCCTCCTACAAGTGGATTTCGGACGGAAAACTGAAAGTAATCGAAAAAAAAAACCAGAAATATACAAAAATGCTCAAAAAATCGTCTCCATACTATGTTTTGACTATTTCGAATACTCCTCATGTAGAGGGACAGGCCAGAGACTTAAATTTACGCGGTTAGAGAGATCGAGAAAGAGAGAGGGAGAGAGAGAGAGAGAGAAAGAAACAACAACAACAACAACAACAACAACACCAACAGCAACAACAACAACAACAACAACAACAACAGCAGCAACAGCAACAGCAACAACGACAACAACAACAACAACAACAACAACAACAACAACAACAACAACAACAACAACAACAACAACAACAACAACAACAAAAACGCGCTGTATCGTCGGTGGCGGAGCGAGGCGGGGGAGGAGAGGGTCGAGCGAGAGCCTGGGGGGGGGGAGGCGGAGGACGAGGGGAAATGGCAAGGAGGATCCCACGCGTCTGGCCAAGAAGTCAGACGTGTGCTGCTGCCCTGTCAGCTAAGCTTAAGTCGGGCATGTTCCTCTACAGGCAGATTTTGGACGAAAAATAAAAGATAGTCAAAACATGCCCCCCGAAATTGTCAAAACTTGTCAAAAAATCGTCACCTGACTAGTTTTAAGCTATGTTTGAAGATTCCTCCTGTAGAGGAACACGCCCGACTTAAAGCTAAGCCGACCTGCCTGCACCGATCGTGCTGGCCCACAGCCCATGTAACAGAGCGTCCTCTACGGCTCGATTTCGACACTCCGTCCTTGCAGTACACTGTCATGATGCCTCTCTGCACTTGGGTCTCTGGGAATGGACCA